TTCAACCTCAAAGGGTTTTTTTTTTGTTTGAGGATGAATTAAATAACAATAAACAACAAAAAGGAGGCAAGTAGATTTAGCTAAAGCATGAGCTACAAAATTTTGGAGCCCTTTTTACATAGCAATATAAAAAAAGGGGTGAAATTTAAGAGTGATTATTATTAATGGTGTGGATAAGTTAAGAAAGAAAAGAAAAAGGAAAACAAGGCATGTGAATTGTGAAGGGGTGGGGCTGTGGAATCAATAATTATTGGGAAACTTGTCGATTAGGACCGCTTTGGTTGAATTGAATTGATTCGCATACACCTCACGTGAACAAACTTTAATTCACAAAATAATGACTGCACCCCACCTTTTTTGCATTCAAACCAATACCTCCAAACCCTAATTTTCTGGACAAAAAAAAAAAAAAAGTTTATCACCACTGTGGCACTGGTATCTACTCACTTCACTTCATCGAATCTCTTATCAATGGAAGGAGTATCTACTCACTTACTATAAACTTTACTACCTCAAGACTTGTCGAGTAGTAGACCTCTTTCGTAAGATTGGTTCAAGTTCTAGAAGAACCCTATATTCACTTTTTAATTCATTTTAATCCTTGCATTTTAAAAACGTTTATTTCAATTTAGTATACTTTCAAAATGTTCATTTGTATGAATCCATGTGCCTATGTATCTATATATATAAATAGATTCTGTTTTTCACCATGTACGAGAATCCTGCTAAGCATTTATGGCTGAATGGTTAAAGCGCCCAACTCATAATTTAGGTTCAATTCCTAAGATGCATGCCAATGGAACCCTCCAGTAAGTCTAGAAGGACTATTGCACAAAATGTGTAATTGCTCCATAGATCCTATACCTATTTATATGAAGAAAAAAACCATGTAACAATGGGGTTCTTCCTAAGTAAGAACCCTTGTATTATCACTTATTCCATGCTTATTCAATAACGGAATATAATGGAAAAAAAAAAAAAACAAGAAACGTTTATTCTTATATTTTATTTATTTTTTATCTAAATTTTTTAATCAAAATTTTAGCACTAACGCTACCTCAATGAAGTTCTTGAAATTTTGTCCTTAACTTCGTATTAAAAGATTTTCTTTGTGGACAAAATTTGTATTATGATATTGCAAATAAAGACCAAACAGTGTCACTTTTTAAAACTACAACCGAGCAAGAGAGAAAGTTACAGGGACAAGATTTAAACCAACTATAACCATATTTATTTATACCAGCAACTACATTACAGTAATCAGCTTCTAACAAAGCGTTTGAACAGCTGATTGAGAAAAAAAAAAGGGGACAATAAAATCACTAAATAATCTATATTGTAGTTTGTAATAAGACTTAACGATATATCAGTTAGCTATTTCATTCTTTCAACCTATCGGGCTAAACTATAACGTTGAAGTAAACTGTGTAAGATTCATCTATGAAGCTCAGCAGTGGTGCCAGCAGAAATTTCCTGGTCGCTCCTTTTACAATGAAGCTAATCGGATGATACTGAATCACTCCATTTTGAATCACAAAGCTCGACGCTTGATCAAAACCATCATCTGATGACAACTTTGACTTGCAGCTTAGCTTCAACTGTGGACCAGATTCATAGTTCACTCCACTATAAACAAAGCACCCTTCATTGTCTGCTGACTTCAACGATATGGTTCCATTCTTTCCATCCAATCCTTCAACCAGATAGAAATCAGAGAAGTGCCCCTCAGAGTTTGATTCTGCAATTGCAAGGTCCCCATCTTTTCCTCGAGTTCCTAGAACCATTCCTGGAAAATCAAATGGTTCTAGCATGACCCGTTTGCCTATAACGTCTCGCAATTCTGAGACTTTTGCAGATGGGTCATTTAAGATGATCAGCCTGAATGTAGCACGAACAGCAGAATTCGTCCCTTGCTCGGGGTACTTTTCCATTGTTATTGACTGGTTTGAGTTTGTTAAGGCAAAAGATGTCTTTCCAGACTCTTGGGAGAAAGTAACGAGAAAAGTATTGTAAGCAGAAGGAACGGGAGTTATCCAGTCTGATAAAGAGTCAGTCGATCCGGTTTTGATGTCCCAGTCACCGTCACTATAAGCTGCCAGCAGATAGGGGCCAAAGAGGATCGCTTTGATGGAAGCATATTCAGATCGATCATCTGAGTACATTCACACAAATTTGATTATTATCTGAAACATTATATTCAGTTCAGCTATGTCAGATCAGATGTATATATACCTTCAATAGCTTCAGTTCTTAGGTTAATGGGTAGCTCAAGGGTTAACTTGTCCCCCGAGTTCCATTTGTAAGAAACCGGTTGGAAGTTGACTGCAGTATAAGAAGAAAGAAAAAGATAAGAATATGAAACATATTAGCTTACTGTAAAGATGTGATGTTAAAAGTATCAGGTGAAAGTCCAATAGGAAAGTGATCCACTACATGAAGAATGAATAAGAGCCAGAATAAAATGGCAGGAGCATTAAAAAAGAATTTGAACCACAAATCAAATTGTTCTGTTTCACGCCTATGAAAAAGAAAATCCAGCAGAGGGTTACGGTGGTTAATACCATTTGGGCTGATTGCCAAACTCTGACCATTGAGTGTTACTTTAGCGTCATTTGCAGTTGTCCAACTTGGAATTCTCAAATTAATTGTAGATGACTGGACTGATCCCTGCATCATTTAGGTCACATAGACACTAGTTAGTTCCCAATGGAAATCCTACTCAACAAGCAGAGACGTGTTGAAAGTTTCCTTGCCAGGATTCAGACAATCTCTACTGGCTATACAACACAAATAAGGTAACTTTACACCCAATCTTTTCTCTACTATTGAACAATTTCTCCTAGCTTGTCTAACAATATAAGATTACCTTTTTGTATTTGTCTATCTCGGCTAAGCCTCAGCTCAGTCAGTCTGAAGCTCCTATGTCCGTGTAATACAACTAGAATCACGAGGAAATGGCTATGTATCTCTTCTGTCTTAATTTGCACATCTGGTTGACTCTTTGTTATACGTTTAATTCTAGCTTCTAAAAGTGCTGTAACATCTTTTATAACCCTATACTGTATATAAAACTACATATCATGTAATTACTCCTTTTATTCTTTTTGAACGTTCAAAGTCTTAGTAAGGTTATCTGATCCAATTATGAGATGTACATAGACAGAATCTTATGAAAATTATCAGAAAACCGTGAAATTATTCTGCCTTGTGAAAATTGTAAAGTTAACATATACCACCTTGGGAGAAAACATCATCGTCATCCTGAGGTTTGGATCTTCTGAATGAATGGGAGCAACTTCCTGTTTAAGCAAAACATTCCCTGATTTCCAGTCAAGAGAACTTGATATATATTGGATGACATAAAGCGTAGGAGCTTGTGCTTCCTCCTCAAAATATATGGAATCACCCAACTTCGAGAATGATTCAATTCCTATATGGTAAGCAAGAAAATGATCAAGAATTCATATACATTCAAAGAAAACATAGGAATTCTACATTCAAGATAATGAGAATAAAATGAATCATTTTCAAGCAATTATAAAGGATAAGGGAAAAGGAACACGAGTTTTAATGGAGTCGAAACCTGTGCCATAGCAGCACCAAAAAGATTCAAATGGGGTTCCCCATCCATGGTAGCTTTTGGCTTTAGAACTTCCACGAGCTAACGGAAGCATGTAAATCATTACCCCGGGGTCAGTTCCTCTTTGGATGCTCAGCACCCCATTTGTAAGAGCCCGCTCATAATAATCTGCATATGCTATTTCCTTGGTCCATTTAAATAGGTTGCGGGAGACCTATAATATCAACAACTTGAGTAAAAAGATAAGATAAAGGTTGGTTTCCATCGTGAAATGCTCGTACAGCATCAAAATAAAGTGTAAAATATAACCCTCAGCCATCAGGGTGATGCATCCTATTCTATAAAAACTGTCGATAAAAGAAAAGGAATGGGGAGATTGGGGGAAGATTTTCAGCATATTACTCAATTACTAGTTCAAAGAATATCTTGTTCTTCTTTCCAGAAGAAACCGAAAAATAATAAGCGTATTTTATTTCCTAATGAGGCTATCTGAAAATTCAAATAATTCCACCAAAAGCATTTGTTCATGGCCTAACCCACCACAACTACAAGAACCAAAGGAAAGACTTATACCTTAAGCATGTTGTAGGTTGTGCATGATTCTTCATTCTCTGTTCCTAGAGTATCTGCCAATCTCTTAGGGTCCGTCCTGCTCATAGGACAAGGAAGGAAAGAAAACAAGGGTGACTTTAGAATAAAAAGTTAGAAACAAAGGCCAAACACATACTCACAGACTTTTCACAAAAGATGAAGCACAAAATGAGAAAATAACTAATTTGAGCCTAATGCTCACTTTTTAATAGTTTAACACCTGAATAAGGAAAATGCAAGATCCGAAACACAAGTCAGAAGTATTTTAAAAAGAAAGGCACTCAGACCAAATATGCATGCAATTAATAGCACATAATCTTAAATGAACCAGCTATTATACAAAAAAATGTACATTAAAGTTCTCCAATATATAGCGCACAGTTTTAAATGACTCAAACTCAAGCGTGGGTAGTGCTAGTACCAGAACTCATGAACTGACGTCCCTCCTGTTGCATAGCTATGGGAGGATTTAATAATGTCCATGAAATATGTAGATATTTCCTGGAGTAAAAAAATTGAAAATAGTTCAATATAAACAGCTTACTAACAGTTCGATCAATCACAAACCAGTTTCTAAAATCAGATCAGAAGTTAAGATTGAGCTAAACTAGCAAACTGCAAGGAATTTTTAGCCAGGGAAAAAGGCTTCAAGTATAGGAATGCAAATCGTGCATAATTATTACAGCAGCATCTTCTTATATATTGCGTTTTTGTTGGTTGAGCAACCTGAGCAATATAAGGAATGTGCACCTTGTTTGTTCTGTTTCTCTTTTTTTTTTTTAGAAAAAAATAAAAATAAAAATAAAATCATTGCAGACACAAATGGATATGAGGAAATATACCTTATACAGAGGATCACCAGTGACTTCATACCGCATTTGAGATCCAACAACAATTGGGATATGTGTGTTGGTATGGAAACCTGAAATATCTTCAGCCTAAAATCAAAGGAGAGAATCTCCAAGATATGAGGATCCCAGCGAAGGCAAACTGGATTTACACTGGTAGATAAAATTTCAATTTGGTTTTATGAACAAGGAAATTAGTTTCAATGATTTCCATCTCGTCTTAGAATTTTGTTCTCAAATTTGGTAACAACTAGATTGAACAACACTTCATTCTTACCCTAATAATTGACAACGAATGTTAAATGTATTATTCATGAATCCAGAAATCTTTGTAACTTCGAAGTTTTTATAGAATTTATACGTAGGTGATAATTTAGGTTGGAATTCTACTGTCAAGAAATGATAGTCAGATAGCATAAAGAACTTTTAATGATTAATTTTAACAAATATGGTGAGAGCAATCTACTGTGTAACTTTGGATTGAACAATGAATAGTTACCTGTACAGCAAGAATTCCTAGAAAGCACGGTTTGTCAAATAAGTGTGCTAATAATAAATGCTTTGCATTTCCCTGCACGTATTAACAAAACATAATCCATATCATACTCATAGCCAACACATTACACATTAAAATGCAAAAACTCATCTTCAAATAGATAGGTACACCTAGAACATATAAAAAGCTAAAATCAATCATCACATGCAAGTTAATTTAAATCTAGTAAATGTTATGTTAGCATCCAAAAAATTTTATCTAATCATACCTTCAGGACTGTTGTGCAGCTTTTTCCACAGCATACATCTCATGAATGAAAGATTAAATTAAATGACAATTTTAATAACAGATCCAAGTTCCTAACATGTAAGCAACTAATGCCAATTTGATGGATATTACCCGGCAGAGTCACATTACAGATCAAGTTAGACCAATGAGAGTAGGACTAGAGGAATCACATACTGTTATTCTGTACAACCGGTAGAGCACATCATTCATGCCACCAGTCTCTTCATTGAGTGCCCGATAGTGTCTCTCTACAGTGTACTTTGTTATGACATTCTGAACACGGTTGTAGAAGTACTCGACCATCCATGTTACCATTTTCAAAGCTTGAGAATTACCAGCAAAAGTATAATGATCCAATAATCCTGCCAATATCTGTCAACATAAACAAAATTAAACGAGGTAGTAACTTCTCAAGAGAATTGTGTGTCTAAGGAAGCTTTACCTTGTGGATGGTGTAATATGGTGCCCAGACAGGTTGAATAGCTTCAAAACGATCGAACTCTTCAGAGGGAAAAGCAGAAAGGTAGCCCGTGCCCATTTTGTCCTGACAAGTTGCCAAACCAGAAACTATTGCAGACATCTTCTCTTTGAGAACAGGGTTATCAGTGCTTGCCCACATTTGGGCCGATGCACTTAAGTAGTGCCCTTCAAAATTGAAAGAGCATATTATCAACTATTAGCACAGACTCAAGCTACAAAAACTTAATCTGCAATTCATAATCTACTTGCCAAAAAAACCAGACTAGGGAGGGATAGAAAACAACCACGAACTCTGATTGTGCATACGTGTATGTTTGAAGAGAGATAGATTTTTGACTTATGAATTCAGCGCCAAACTTATAAGTACAGGTTATTTTCTGAGATGGAAAGTATTGGCCAAATTTGCATAAGAACTGATATCTTAAACTTAATACCTACAGGATCCAAAATCCAACTTGTATCACAACAAACAAGTATAGTCACGACTGATTAATATGCATGTACGAACAAAGGAATCTTCTTCCCAAGTTGCCCATCAAGTCGGTGAATATATACAGAACTATCAATTCTGAGCTGCTCTAACCAAACGGATGGTTTTTCTTGAAGCTAAAATCAAGGCATCAAACAGTACCCATGGATGTTTAACATTGAGAAAGAAGTAAACAAAAGTACACTACATGATTAACTTCAACTAGAAAGCTACATCTTCTTTTTACTAACTGTCTCCTGCACACCCCACTCTCTAAGAATGAATAATTGGGGGAGGGGGAGGGATGAGTAAAACATGTTCAGAATCGACAATGTTGACATGAATAAAATGAAGTCTAATGTATTTCTGTAAGCTAAATACCTCTCTTTTAAGCTATTCTGGGCCCTCTGTGCTGTGAATAGTCTAATGGTATACTCTCAGAAGACAGAAGCATGAAAGAATAGATGAACATAACAACATAAACTATACTGACAAGAAAGCACGAATAACTGTCTTAACTAACCTACAAAATGACCACGAAGCTCGCAGTCTGATTTTTCCCACCCGAGGTACGGTTCTCCAGGTGTAGGCAAACCAGCAGTCTTCCTAAAGCTCCAGAGCAACCTGTCCACATCCAACATCAGTAGATACTTCAAATTTGTCATCTGAGCCCTTCCATGGAACGAGTTTGGATCCAACCGTACGTCGTGTAATGAAATTTCCTTGAGCAAACCGCCAGGAACTTGAGTCCCATCTTTATTCTTCATTTGTCTATACACCATTGCCCAATTAAATTCATTTTCTTCCTTCAACACCTTTCTTGGTAACAAACTCGACCACGCAAAATCATCAGTTGGTGTCAAGTGGTAGTGAGAAAACATCTCTTCCTTCCACGTTCCATTATGTGATGATAATAGTTCATATCTAAAAGTATGTGATCCGAGTTGAGTAGGAGTGTTTGTACACTCCTTAAGAGAATCACCACGACAGAGCATAAATACCATTAAGGTCACTAGAACTGCCCACATTTTAAGAGACTGAGAAATTTTCATACTTACCAAATATAGGACAAGGAAAAATATATATTATATCAAATCTGGGTGTAAATAATGAGAAATAGAAGCCAAATCTTTCAATAAGGGGATAAGATCAAGGCGCCATAAAACCGGCACTTCGAAAATAACCCAGCTAAAGAATCAAAAGCATTCGGTCATTAACAATAAACCCAGAATGCAAAACCCAGAAATTTCCAGAAAGAACGTAACCTAGAACGCAAGACACAAGGGGAACCTCACATTCAGGAACATCTAATCAAAAAAATGAACAATGAAAAGCAAAGCTTAAGGAGAACATAAGAACAGGCACATGTGAGGTCCTATATATACAGATAAAACAGAGAGAGCCCCACAAATCAAGCTACATCTCAAGCCATCTCGTGAAAGGCAAGAAATGTTAAGTGAAAAGCAAATTACTCGGTTTATCGAAATATACTGAAAAGTAATCAAACCGAACTAAAATTCTAAAAGGTATTTTTCGATAAATGGGGTTGAGAGAGAGCGTGTGGAGACAAGTGAGGATCACGGATGTGATGTCATTTTGTGCTGGGGTTTGACTCATTCGCCAGTTTTCGGAAATACGGGAGGTGGGTTTTGAAGCCATTGGAGAGAAAAGGCTCACACAGTGGAAATGGAAACCAAATTCTGATGGAAAGAATGAAAAAGTTGGCGTTTTGGGGGAATTTTTACGCAGCCCTCCTCATCTTTTTGGCGCCTTCTTCAACTTCAGTCGATGAGTTACATTACGAGTTACGACAACCTAACTGAAACATTTGAACGTTTTACTTCAAACAACCCAACTGAAATATTGAATGGACTTGTTAATATAACAAGATTGTTTCTCGTTTCTTGAGAAATCTAAATATTGTTGAAATAACTAGGCTTTTTTTTTTTGTTGATATTTTCTTTGGAATATTTTTAAAATTTTAGAAATAACCCAAACAAGTTGATTAATCAAATGATTAGTTGATAGGATACCTTTGTCGTTGCAATATTATATGACAATACCATGGTGAATGCCTTGTGGACAAAGTAGTTGATTGTAATTTCAGGATTATTGGAATTGATGCTCTTCGAGTCGTTGATGGTTCAATATTCACCATGTCACGAGAGACAAATCCTTCGTATCCTATTTATTTCTTTTTTTTTCCGTTTCCAATTTGTTCCTGAGCACAAATAAAAATATTATTAACATACTTGAATTTGAATTCATGGATGTTGGAACATTTATATTAAAAATGAAGCATAAAAAACAAACAAGAAACAGTAACGTTATCGAATGGAAATTGCGATGACCCAAGAAATTCATCAGTAAAATTCTATTTATCTTGTTATTTCTCTTGGTTTTCTCTATTCAATAGTGGGTTATTTTTGTAATTATTATATTGCTCCACTTTTTGAGACTTTTCTTTTTATATTTAAAATTTTTTTTAGTAAAATATGTCGGGATGGGTATCGAACTCACCACCTCTTAATTAGTTGAAGATATATGTCAATTATCACGCTCGTTTTGACTTACATTCAGAGCCTTAACCTTTTTTAAATATGAGTTGAAATATTTTTATTTTGGTAAATGTATTATCAATTCAACATAATTTAGTAATGATAACTCAGTTGATAAAACCTCCTCATTTATAATGTTTATTTCTGGTTTAAATTTCCTCCTATGATATTTCTTACCACAAAACAAAGGAAATTTGGTTTGATTAAGCAAAGATTTCCCTCGACAAAAATTAAAAATATTTATTTGATTTTTCGTAACATTTCTAATTTATATTATTATCAACTCTCAGTTATTGTCATTACGTAACATAAAACAATTTTATATGATGGTTTTTTCATTAGAATAGGGCAATAAATTCGAACTCGTGAAAAGATATATGTCCTAATTTGTCAATTATGTAATGAACATAAATCCATAGATTTTTTAGAATATTCTTGACAAATAAGGATAGGTTCCAACCACAAATCATCGTGGATGACATGTAACTTCATTTTTGCATTTAATACTTCTTTACAAATTTGTGATTACTAATATTTCTGCTGGGTGGTGGCATTTATAGTATCTATTTATTTAATTTTTTTTTTTTTTTTTGTAAAGGAACATTATATATTCTCCAACGGAATATGCAAGTTGCATTAATAGCATTTAATCACTTAATTTTTGGTTCGTGGCAGCACTTTTTCCACGCAACCAATATGAAGATGAACTTTAAAAAATATCTCTATGTACATAAAGAAATATCAAATTACGCATACAATAAAGGAAGGAAAAAAATAATTATTATAATCACACAATTGTGGTGGCATAACTAAAATAAAAGGATCAAGCAAGATTCACATTCCATGACACGAAATTTGTTAATGTTATTATTGTCACTTATTTTCGTTATAAGACAACGAAGGTCCATAAAATAAAGTTTATTTTTACAATAATCAATTATGAAAAATGAAGTGAAGCACAGACAAAAATCTCAAGAGCCAGCCAAGTCATGTGTCCTCGTAAGAAAGAAACACTGTTTACAAATTTCAAAAATGTTATCCTCCTTTTTCCCAGTGCCATTATGTTAACATGACCCATCACAAAATTTCATCACCGACCACGTGAACCATGAGACAGGTCATCTTAAAAATTCCAGGAAAAGAAAAATTGGTTTAGATTTTTATTTCAATTCCTATTTAAAAAATTGTGTAAATATAAATGTTGGAGTACACGAGGTTGGTTCAGGATGAGTAGGTTTAAGGTCTTTTGAATAAATTGGTAATGGGTAGGTTTGAATTAGACTTCAGTCTAACTAAGCCAATCAAAATCCTACCTTTTACCACTCGCTTACTTTTTTTTTTTGCTTTAGAAGTAAAGATGTATAGCTCAAGAAAAAATACTGTCACGTGTTTGGTTTGAAAAAAGTGATCTTATTGTATTTTTCATGATATGTTTTCTTTTATTCATTCACTAACAATTTAAGCATCAAATGTTATAGTTAAAAAAGAATTATTACAACAATAGTATCTACGAATGCAATTATCAATTACTTATTATTTGAAGTTGCTAAGTTTACGATCCCACTCCACAATTGTCAAAACTCAAAAAAATAATAATAATAATAATAAAATAAATAGTGATCTTCATATTCCATTTCAAAATTATAAAATGGAAATCTGTTCTCCATTGACCTTGCATCTTGAGAGAAAACAACTAAAAATAGTCATTTTTCCGACTAAACTTCATTTACCAAAAAACAATGAAAAACATGTATACATTTTTCGACTTTATAAACTTCCAGCATCTTTTCTCTTACATCTTCTTTTTCAATAGCATGTTAATTAAACACATATACTCCTCAAAATTATTATATAATATATCCTTTTTATTAACTTATATAATATATTTTTTATCACTGATAATAATATATTCATTCAATATATTATATAATATATATCTTTTAGTGGTATATACTTAAATTATTTTTTCATCTAACTTTCGGTAAGCTCCACTATGTTATTTAATATATGCATTTTGTCGGTAGCTAGTAGGTTATGCATCGTTGAATCTAATTTAAATTATGGTAAACATATACGCATAGCTTATATAACATATACTTTATGTTAGTATGTACAGTTGTATAAATATGCCTTTATTATAACTAAAAACAAAAATAACATGCATCAAATGTGAGCCATTATTACAGAAATCAAGCTGAAATCGGAAAAAAAAAAGGTGTCCATATTCTTGAAAAATTTGTAGATTTGATTCGCTGTGGCTGAAAATTAAATCATATGTAGCCGTCGTGGTTCGGAACTCTAGGTCGTTGTGGTGTTGCAGACCAATGTTGCAAATTTGAGAACGGTGCTGTATGTTCGTGGGTTGTTGCCATCAGGGGGATGTCACATGGGGTCATGTTGGACTGCCGTCAGGAGGAGGTCGTCGGTCCGAGCAAGGGATCGTCGTCGTCTAGTGCTACCGTGGTGTCGCTGGTGCTTACTCTCATTGGAGAAGGAATTGAGGAAGGGGGCGACGACCGGTCTTTACAGAAAGAGAGAGATGTGTATGTTTTGAGAGAAAAAGAGATTATGGTTTATTTGGGGGTAAAATGCATTTATTCGGTTGACAAAAATTTTGTTACTTTTTTTCTTTTTTCTATAAACTGTGTATTTATTTATCATATGGATAGTCTGTTAATTTTCATATGGTCCATCAAGCATCTCTTATTAGAAATCTATGTAAGATTTTAGTTAACTACCTAGTTGTTTAAGAATCCACGTGTGTACTTCATCATTTTTATTTTGGGCAATCCATTATCATTTGCCCTGGGCCGGGTGCTTCCCCCAAGAGAGAAAGTAACTGGGCTTCCAAGTTCTTAAAGCCCAAGACATATATAAAAAAAGGCCATATTCTAACGGATGGGCCTCTCATTACTCATAACTGAATTCTACATTTTCTTTCTTCTACTTTCTTTAAAGTTATTTTACTTTTATTTTAATAAATTATATCCCCTCAATATTCAATCGATTAGGTAATAATATCTTTGTCAATATTTTATTGGTTATACTTTTCTCGTTTGGAACCTTTAGATTTTTTTTTCCTCTTTAACATTATAGTTTTCTTTTTCTTTTTTTTCCCTTAATCCATTTAACGTATTTCATTATTTTTTCTAAAACTATTAGACATGCTTTTATCTTTTTTTTTTTAATAAATAATAATATGTCTATACTATTATCCTCCTATTATGACCTATTAATTATATAGATATTTTATCTTGACTTTTTTTTTATGTGGTCGGGAGTCTCATCAATTTGTTATTAAAACAAAATTCTTGACGCATATACTCCTTTATATAATTTGGCAAAGAGGACTTATCTATAGTAGATATGATTATCATAGAGATCTTTAAGAAAGTTTTTTAGGGCCAACATGAGTTTAACTAACGATAATCGACACATATCTCTGACTAAGAGATCACGAGTTTGAATCTCTTCGTCCTAGCTACTTGTTGCATACCAAAAAAATATTTTTTAAATAATACTAAAAAAATTTGATATGTCAATCTCTTGAAACGAACACTGTTTTTCAATCTTGAGGGGAGGTGTTCATAATACTCTAAAATAAATTAATTTATGAGAGAAGATAAAATCTTATTTTATCCTTAAAGTGAATAAAATAAATTATATTAATATTGTAATTATAGTATTAAAAAAAATACCCCTAGTAATTGTTCAGGCTTTGGAGCACTAGTTCACTTGATACTAGTGCTAGTGTGAGTTCAAGCCTCAATGGGAGAAGAAGAAATCAAATAGGGCATTCCACGTGTGTGCATTCATGCAGAGCAAGATTCAATTATTTTTAACTCTATATATATTTTTTTAGTATTAGAAATTATTTTATTTTAGAAAATAAGGATAAAGTTTAATAAGTAACTTTTTTATAAAAAGAAAGAATAATAAGTAACATTTATTTACATTTATTTAAAAGAAAAAATTGCAATATAAAATCTATTGGCTAAAAACTAAGAAAATATATTTAAAAAATTGACATGATAGACGTTTGAGTCCAAACATTTCATTCTAAGGGAAGTGCACCAAACTAGCAATTTGATTTAAAATAAGTATATGTTTTTTTCAAGAGACAAGATACTAGATTTTTTTCCTTTTTAAAGTAACGTGGTGCATTTCTTACAATACAGAAATAATATGTATGTTGCTGAATTGGACTTAATTGTCTCTTCACCTGTATTTTTAGAGCATTATTTTTTGAATTAATTTCAAACTAACATTAAATAAGTTTAAATATTAACAATATTTAAAAAATAATAATAAACCAGAGCAAAAATGGTAAAGTAATTATAATAAAGATTTGAGACCCACCAAATAAAGAATGTGAATCTGATTAATTGATGAAATCGTAAAAGAAAAATTCTATATTTTAGTAAACACACCCTGTCAAGAATGAAAATTTTGATTCCCATTATTTAATTTTTCCATACCAGCCTATGCTGGTTATAGGGTTGGTAATTTTGTATTCTTATATCACATTGGTAGTGTATATTTATAGAGAGAAAAAAATTATAACTTGAGAAATATGTATATAATTTTTAAAATATCTTTTTAGTACAATATATAGAGGTGGAGATTCGAATTAACAATATTTTAGTCGGAGATAGATACTTTTAGCCATTAAACTACCCTGAAGGCATCTAATTTTTTAAATTTTACAACTAAAATTATAAATATAAAAACTGTACCGGTCGAAACCATATTTTAAAATAAAAAGCAATATAGATGTCATTTAATAAAACAATAATTAAATAATTTGTGCATATTTGGTGCGTTTGGAAAATTTGATATCTTTTTGAAATGGGTGGGTCGGAAAGTCTCACACATTTGGCTTCCCCCACCATTAATGCCATTTCTTCTCAATCATGATGTTGGGATATTGTTTCCCAACAAAAAAGCACTACATAACTTGCTCTCTATTCTTCTATTCTTTAATCCTGCAAGCACAATAATCGGGAGATTTGGATTCGAGGGAAGAAATATAGGTCAATTATCGTTGAATTATGTTCAAATTGACAATCCTATATTTTATTACTCGTATAAAATCTTATCATTTTTTTTCTTTTGAGTATAACATGTGGGGATTGGAGATCAAACTCATATATGTCAATTATGGTTGAACTATGCTTGCTTTGACAAAAAAAAAGAAAAAAAATTATAATTGCATAGTTTATCCTCAAAAAAAAATTATAATTACCGCACTAACACACAAAAAAGAATACACTAAAAATTATAAAAATTTGCTTTTCAATACAAGTTACAACCAAATGTATGCGTGGGACATACTGATCAAGAGAGTAAATACATACACTTATTCTTGTATCACGCAATAGTTAAACTATAAAGTGGGAGTAGATAGAGTTGTTTTAATTTTATATGTCAATTTGTTGGAGATGAATTATTTTCTACCACATGTTAACACCAGGGGTCATCGCTCACTCTAATGAAAGGAAAAATTGGATGAAGTTTACTGTTCAGTAGATTCCAAACAGATCGACAAGGCATACCGATCGAACTATATCTCACATCTTGATCGACCTTCTCAAAAGATGAGTCGACCTTGAAGTGTATTTACAAGTCCAAGCACCAAACAGAATCTAAAACAACACACAACAATGTTTCCTAAGACGGTCGGAGGACCCTTATGGAGCACCGTTGGAAGCTCACTACTATAAATAGAGATAACCACCTCTTGTGCAAAGTACGCGAAATTATATTCTCTCGAGTATAGATCGGATAAGTACTCACTTGAGCGTTAGAGTGCTAATTTTATTTGTAGGTCCCTCCATTCATCGATATCATGTCAGCCTCAATTTTGCTAGAAACTTAATCTTTTTTCTTGATCAAACAATATATATTCTCAACTAGAAGGTCAAAGCGTCGAATTCTCACTCATCACCCCCACAAGAAAAGTTGTAACTTTACCATAAACAATCATAAATAAAGAAGTCGAAAGGTAAAGAACTCTTAACTGCCTTGTTCAAAGTCATAATGGTTAGTCATGTGAAGTCAAGTTCATTTTAGCGGACTTTATCATTTCATGATTTGGGTCGATGGAAATAAAAAGAGTGATTAAATTAAATTAAATAGAAGATGGGTGTCCTTTCATCAACCAATATCAAAAACGTACTTTCTTTTTTTCCTTTTATAACATGTGAGAGCGGAGATTCGGACATGTCTTTTTTTAATTGAAGATACGTGTTTTAATTAATGGAACTATATTGAATATTTACTATTAATTCATTGGGTAGCCAAAATCTAATAAATCTGAATTTTTTGCATTTGATGCTGCCTCACATTCGTAAAGTGTAAAGAAATACAAATACCATTAATCTCAATCAATTTACTTTTATGAAAATGTTTTTTGAAAACTACGTACGTTTAATGATTTAAAAACACTTTTTTGTCTTCCCAAAAAATTCCCCCAAGGAATCATTTAAAAGTGACAAATATAATCCAAATTACAAGGTTTAGTTGATGAAGAACAGTGCTTGAAAGGGACAAAATAACTGATGAATCTATCCGAAAGATTTTACAATTAGAGCTACACACAATTCGGGGCAACAAACGCTTACTGTCCTGAAGAGGAAGGGAGGGCTGCCCTAAATTCGTTTCATTTTCTGGGGCTACACGTCCCATCAATCACAAACTATGCTGTTTTAACTTTTAAGTTTTTTGTCTCAGAAAAAGGGAAATTTTTTTTTTTGAAGTTTTTAGCACGAGTGTGGGCCTTCTAAATATTAATTAGTCTCCGACATGTACCCTCAAATTAGAATACTTAATTTGTTTCTATTATATTTTTTCTGCAGATTCGCTTCATTTCCTCAGTCTAATCAATCCAAAATATTTTCGTTATTTCTTTAATTTTCTAATAAAATACAAACTAGTATATAGTAAACTAAAGTAACCAACCATTTTTAAGAGAAGAACTAATCTTTTACTACTTTTCGGAGGGCCCTATTTCGCATTTGCTAAAGACAATGCTTATAAACTGTTTTGTAATATCTTTCTACATCTCTATCTCAATCTCTTTCAAGCTTCACGTGATTCTATCTCTCTCATATCAAATTACAATAATGCCCCCAAAAAGTCTTTGTTGTATCATATTTTTTAATAATAATTTCATTTTTCTTCCATATTTACGAAACCAGTGGATTTTCTCAGTCATGCAGACACTATTATCCGGCTATTTTTGTAAGCTTGCTTTATATTTTTCTTTTTCTGGTTTTCAGAAAGTTGGAATTAATAATTGCTATAGACCCAAAAATAAAATAAAAAAAAGGATGAGAGAGCTATAAGATATATTTTATTCATTAAAAAAAGAGAAAAAAAACTCCGCAAATTTAGAAAAATTTGTCTGGTAACGATATGATCAGCCCCGTTTTGTATACAGGGAAAACCTTAAATTAATATGGCCGCCCTATATCTATAAAAAGTGAATAATTTTCTACTCAAGTCTTTCCACTCCTACGCATTTGCCTATCAATCTTTTTAACTTTCATAGCCGCTCATTTAAAACCTCATCTACTTCTTTTTCTCTAAATTAATTGCTATAATAATTCATTTCGTTTTTGTTTTTGTTTTGTTCCTTAATATTATTTAATAAAAAACAAGCATCATATTCTATGAACGAAGCCACAGCCCACAGCCCACAGAATCAAATTCTTCATTTTTTTAAAATCAAACTTTTTGGGCGTAGCACTTTATTCTCTATGAGTAGAGAGGCACGTGAATCGTAGCACTGCAAATCCTAACTTTACCTTTCACTGCCAACCTCCCCACACAACTCATTATTATACTCAACTCATAATAAACCATTTATTATTTTTAAAAATAAATGGGTATTAAAAACTAAATTAATATTCAAGGAAACAAGACCCAATTCTTGTTTGGATAAATTTGAAGGAACGTCAAGGACTTTGATCCTTTTCCCTTTCATTCAAAGCCAAGGGAAGGAACGCATAAAGGGAGAGAATTAAAACACGCGCCTCGCTGGCGCGTGCTAATCCATCAATTAATTGTTACTAAATTAATCATGACTTCACAGTACCAATTCTTCTGCCTATTATTACCTTAACAGCCATATTAACATTTATCAATTTCACTAACGCCGTTCCTCACGTACTTTCTACCATTTATTTTATTATGTACATTAAAATTACACAGAGCCCAAAGAATTAATATCAAACTCTTACACGTGGGGGGTTAGAATTCCGTTAAAGATGTGTCGTTATTCTGCCAACTGAAAGAGGTCGACGGAGACGACGGCGGCGACCTCTGTCTATGGAAGTATTCCATTATATCCACGCCGCCGGGCGTTAATTTCTCCGTCCATTCCGTTTCTTCTCGCGACGTTAAAAATGGCGGTCGCGTGACGTCCGTCAATAGGTCCCACTTAACGCCGTGAAAGAAGGCATGCTCCTTGATTTCACACGCGCCGCGTACGTAGCCCAACCGCCTGGTGGGGTCCTTATGCAGCAACCGTTCGATCAAATCCGTTAGGTCCGAACGCTTCCCGATCAACTCCGGAGCTTTGACCAGAACGTTCCGAAACGTTTCTTTCCGGTTCTTCCCCTTAAACGGCGTCGTACCGTAGAGCATCTCGTACGTGAGAATTCCAAGGGCCCACCAGTCGACAGCAAATTCGTGTCCCTCGCCGCGAACGACCTCCGGCGACACGTACTCCTCCGTGCCGACGAACGAATTCGACCGCTCGCCATTGGTGAAACTCGGCTTCCGTCGGCTGACGGGGCTGACGCGAGCCGATTTGGCCTTCCTCAGGCCGTCTTTAACGTTGGGGGACGCCATGATCCATCGCGACAAATATCGGCGGTGGTTTTGCCGGACGACGGGTGGCTTCTCGTGGGCAACGACGTCTTTTACAGCTCTCCGGATCAAGCTACGCGACAAATCGAAATCCGTGAGAGTTACGTGACCCGATTGCTGAATCAAGACATTCTCCGGCTTCAAATCTCGGTAGACGATGCCCATGGCATGGAGATGGTCGAGCGCGCAGACGATCTCAGCCAAATAGAAGCGTATGACGGCCGGCGAGAAAACCCTATCGAATTGGCGGTAACGCAAGACGTTGAGGTCGCCGCCGGGGCAGTAGGGAACCGCCCAGCCCAGAAACTGGTCGGACTCGAAGGATCCAAGAATGTTGGGGAGGAAGGGGTGGGGTTCGGGGAGGGACAAGCGGGAAAGAACCTGAATCTCCCAACGGGCTCGGCGCTCGGCGTCGTGCTTGGAGACAAAAGAGGCTTTCTCGACGACCTTAAGGGCGAAGGGGGAAGAAGCATGTTCATCGGCGAGGCGGTCGTGGACGAGGAACACGGTGCCCATGGCTCCTTTTCCGAGTACCTTGAGGGCTCTGAGATCGTGGAGATGGAGGTGTTGATCGGACGATGGGTGATCCGAGTCCATGTCGTCTAAGGTTTTGAGGGAAGGGGAGGGGATTGCGGAAGAAGAGTCGGTTTTTTGGAATTTATAAGAGGGCATTGGGCGTATTTTGCGCCTTTTTTACGGCTCCCTCCTTTTCGGTTTTGCCACACAGTTACTACTCGCTTCTCCCCTTTGCCCCTCTAACTTGCTTCTTTACCCACCCTGTGCAACAATTTAACGAACCTCGTTGCCAATAAACCTAACCCCAAACCAAAAAAATTACTTCCCTTACCCTTGAACTGAATTATTCAACTCCCACCCCCCCAATTTGTAATCTTTTTTTAAAGTTAATTATTAATCAATATATCACTTGAAGGATTTCATATATTATAAATTAAATAATGGCATCATGACAGGAAAATTCCGGAAAATCGAAGAGGATGCAGATTCGTAGAGTGAGGTAAAAAAAAATGGGCCATATGATTAAAATTTTCAGCTCCAATCAGTTGTGCACGGTACATGTACCCTAAACATAAACACATAATTATATATAAAATAGAATATAATACACACGAGAGAGAGTATAGATAAATTTGATTTAATTACTGATAAATGGTACCCGGCCTGAGCCAGCCAGCCAGCCAGCCAGCTGCAGAGTGTAATGAGCTGGTTAAAGTGAATGTCTTCATTTTTCTTTTTTAAAGAGAATCCAAGTGAATACTGGGGTACACGTGTAGCCCATAAAACCAGGAAAAAAACAAAAAAATTAAAAGAGCAAAAAAAGGAGGTTTATGTATTGTATATTTCTATTTCATATTCAAATTATTTGTCGATATATCTATTAAATAAATAAAACTAACGGAAAAAATAGGAAAAGAGAACCTGCGCCGTACGATCCTCACATGGAGACACCCATAATCCAAGGGAAAATGCGAACGTGCACGAAGGTTTTTTTTTTTTTTTTTTTGGCTGGAACTTTGTTTTCATTCATCAAATTAATTATCTGGTGCATATTAATTAAAATTAATGAAGTTTTATTCTGTGTGAGATCCATCTATTTTGGGCCTCAATAATTAAACAAAGCATGTGAATGGCACTATACACAAAACTAAATATTGTGATTAATTAGTATATTGACCTTAATCTTCACCCACAGGCCACACCGCAAACTAAGCAATCCTATCCTAATTATGTTGGGAGAAAAAGCACAAAAAAGCATGAAATTAAGGAAACCCTCTATGTGATATATACTATATGAAATAAATTCAGAGTTCGAATTATTGGATTGAAAATTCCGAAATTCCCACGTTCCGAAACATTGGGATAAATTTGCTACATACTGATATACAATATAATATATGTTGGTAAATTGAAATATATAAATGGAGGGAAATTAGAATTATATAAATAGTTGGGATGTGACATAAAATGACAGATGTGTCCGAAAGGGACGTGTGAAATCGGAGATTCCTCGTGGATCCGAAGGCGAAGGGCGTGATATTTGAGATGTACCGTTTCAATTTCCACTGCCTCTCTAATTTCACGAAACACGATTTTTTGTTGCAGCTTTTGCTGCTCCATTACCATTACCCGCTCCCACGCAGTCCCCTCCAATCATTCTCTGCCACCTCATCATTTCTGTTTCATGTTTTCCCAACCCCTTTCTTTTTCTTCTTTCACCATTTTGATAACCCTGCCACAAATAAAATGACAAAAACTCAATCTACCCCTCCTCCAAACCCTCCCTATTTTTCATTTTCTCTTTTCTAATTTTTTTTCCAAATTATATATATTATTATGTGGACTTGTTTATTATGCAACTAATCTCCCTTAAACCAAAAGCCATTAACTATTTTGAATATATGGGATATTGCACAGGGGTATATGATTTCTGTTATGTTATATATTATCGAAAGTAATACAATTAATCCAAACAAATTGTACCATATATAATATAAAAATTATCACCCCAAAGTTTATTTAAAAATAATGATAATCATGGTTTGAATCTCTACATTAATATAATTGATTCATATGCAGAACCTACAATTATTAAAATTACAAGTGAAACCAACACATTTTCTTTGATGTAAAAAAAGGTAGAAGTATTATGATTTGTTTACCGAAAAAGCAAAGTAAAAAGTTGGGTAAGCTAAGCTGGGGTTGATGCACGAGGCGTGCATATGTAGTGCCTTTTCTTTTCGGTACCTTTTTTTCTTATAAATATTTCTCTCTTTAATTATAATTTAAGAACCAATCTGAAATAATTCAATGAATTAAAATATATGTTTTTATCATAAAAATAGAGTGCAAAAGGTCATCACATGTAGGGATGTTCACGAAGGCTTCTCCATCCCTATTCTCCATCTAATTTCCAATATCCACAAAATTTCCCACAAATTTTTGCGAAGATCCTCCATAGGAATTGGGTTCCTCGTTTATTCTTTTATTTCTTAAACTTAATCATCAATTAAAATTTGGTTAATTTTCAATGATAAAACTCGTTCATTTATATAGTCTAATCCTCCTCCTCCGTGTATTAAGTCGCTAGAGAAAATAGGTTTTTTTTTTTATATATATAAAATAAAAGTGAGGTGGGGCGGGGAACCTATCGATTTAGGTGGTGGGGAAAAGACTTTCCCCATCCCCACCTCATAGGGAATTTAAATGGGGATTCTCCCACCTAAACCCAACCCCTTTATATCATTCGATCGTGAAGTCGAATTTCTACCTCCACATGTTTGTGCTAAAATACATGGGAATAAGGGTTAAACTCACAACTTCTTAATTTGAGATATATGTCAATTACTGTTGAGTTATACCAATGTTTTAAATGTCGATATTGATGGAAATGTCAATGTCTCAATTTCATGGAAGTGTTGATGGAAATATCGATAAAATGTCAATGTCGTTGGATATTTCTAGAAAAATTATAAAAATAAAAAACTCAAAAAAAATATAGTAACAAATAATCCTCTAACCATTTCTAAACAAGTTAAAAATGATTGATATTAATATTATATTGTCTATATTAGTGAAATTTTGTTGATATTTTTATATTTTGTCGATTTTTCTGCAATATTATGAAATGTTGATTTATCCCTTAAGTCGATATCGAAATTATGGATATATGGACATATCAACATGTCGACTGATATTTAAAACCATGAGCTATACTCGCTTTTGGACCAAAAGAAAATACCTAAAAGGCAAATGTTGATTAAAATTCAGCCCATAACACATGCAAACATGTGCAACATTATTACACAAGCGTGTGTATGTTCTTTCATATCTTTTTCTCTTTTTTTTTCCTCATTTTAAAAATCAACTAAGTTTTTTTTTTAAGCAGGTAGTTCCTGGAGATTCAGATAACTAATAATCTGAATTTTTTTTCTCTCGTCTTGAATAAGCTCAGTAAGTTATATATATATATATATATATATATATATATATATATATATAATATACTATGTTGATGTAGAAATTTGATTTCCTAGAATTCCGCCAAATTCGCACCAATCTTGTACAATAAAGGGATGGACGACACTTGCAAAATAGAATAGCACTAAAGGTCGGACCTGCAAAATAGAATAGTATTAAAGACCAGTGACTTTTATCATACAGGCTCCGATATTTGAGTCAGAATCATATCTAAAGGCCATGAAGATATCTTTTCTCTTTTGAATCGGGAATTGAGATTTTTCTCCTCCATAATATATTATATAACAAAATAGTCTAATTGCCTGCCTGAAAATAATTGTTAAAAAAATATCTCCTATCGAAGTTGGGAATTTGAATTCACACTAAAAAAAGATAATTTATTAAAACAGTTTGTTTGTATATATATAATTAACATATATGTCAAAAAAAAGAAATATATATATCAAATTATTATTACACAACATCACGTGGTATTCATGATTAGGATCCTATACCCCCAACATAAAGAATTTATTTTGTTATTGTGTAAAAAAAAAGAAAAAAATGAATTTATTTTTGTTATAAATATCATGAAGAAGTATTTAATTAACAAACAATTTGTACGCTTCATTAACAAAATAAGATATTAATAAATAGCATTTTAATAACTCAATAATATGTTACATATATTTAAAAAATCAATAACTTACTAGAAACGAGGGAAGGTTTATTAAGGGTCAAATTTAGGAAAAAGAAAACTACTCTAGGTAATATAATTGCTATTTATGGTAATTTTTCTTTAAATATCTACCCAGTACTCAGTTGTCATGGTTAAAACATTACATATATTCTTTTTTTATCAAATCTGATGTTTAAATTCTCACTCTTATATTATTTAACTAACAAAAGTAGATGTTGACGTTACAAATATATATTTTTTATTTCTTAGAAATTCAAAAGTTTAGTATATAATTTTTAGTAATCAGCTTTTCAAAGAGACAATTTAAACCAATTTTTGGTTTTCGATAAATAAGAGTCACAATTTAAACCAATAAAAGCATACCATGCGTAAAAACGATAAAGTACATTATGTAAGCAACTTTGAATTAATTAATTAGCTATGGATCTATACATACTTTCCTCACCATTCCTTGTTTTGATATCTTATCTTAAAGATAAAAAAGATGATCAATAATTGAAGAGACAACGAGTAAATTATAAGTTCAGACTCTCAAAAGGCTTTTTGGTCGCAACAATTTGGTTGTCCAATTAATTAAATGATAACTTAATTAAATAATTTAGGTGCCGATAACTATTTCAATTTCTAAGTATATTTTAAAGTTTTTTCTTAAAATGGAAATGTTTTATAACTCATTTGTTCTTTTCAATTTATAAGTTTTGAAATTGTTTTAAAATTATAAGTACAGTTTTATTTAAAAAATAAAATCAATTTTTATTTTTCAAATTCTCATTTCTTTTGACATTTTAAAGGATTATATCCCCTAAAGTTACATTTTTCTCTCTAAAATAACGTGTTAGGGATATATTTATTTTTTAATTTTTCTCCAACCCATATTTCTTACTTTTAATGTAGATGATTTTTCCAACCTGAGCATAATTCAATAGTGAAATAACATCTACTCATTTTTTAAGTTAGAGATTTAAATCTTCATATTTTTACTATACATGTTGTGTCCTTCCAGGCTGTCTCTAATTTTCTCTTTCTAATTCATTTCTCTATCCAATTTCTCTAAAGTTTTTTTCTTCTAATATTTTATATAGAAGCGATATTTTTAAAATAAAAAAAAAACTTAAT